CTATAGATTGTTGCTTTCTAGTTACAATAAGGCTTACAAAAAACATCTTACGGTTATAACAGGCTATTTTAAGCTGATAACAACTTAACTTTGATTGCATAAATAACTCTGCACTTTTACTTCCTCTCCCTCCACATTTTGCTGTCACAATTTACATCTTATATTGTGTATCCCTTACCAAATTATTATATCTATTATTTTTAATAGTTTTCTTTTCATCTTCATAATAAAGATATTATTGATTTACATATTATCATTACAGTATTAGAGTACCACGAATTTGACTATGTACTTTTACCAGTTTAACACTTTCACATGTTTTCATGTTACTAGTGTCCTTTCAGCTTGAATTCCATTTAGCATGTCTTGTAAGACATGTGATGATAAATTCCTTCACCTTGTTCATCTGGGAAAGTCCTTATCTCTCATTTCTGAAGGACAACTTTATTGCATTTTTGTTTGTGTTTTATAATATGTCTTAGTGTAATCTTGTTTGGATTGAATCTTCTTAGAGATCTTTGGCCTCCCTGTACCTGGATATTTACATTTTCTGCTTTTTTTTTTTTTTTTAATCTTTCAACCTCTTTCCTCTTTCTTCTCCTTTTTGAACACCTACAATTTGAATATTAGCTTTTTTGATGGTGTTCCATAAAAAATTCCATAAACTTTCTTCATTCCTTTTCATTTTCTTTCTTCTCTGGCTGTATGTTTTCAAATAGTCTGTCTTTTGAGTTCAGATTCTTTCTTACTTTGATCAACTCTGTGGTCGATGCTGTCTATTGCATTTTAAATTTCATTCACTATATTTTTCAGTTCTAGAGTGTTTTTGTAAAATATAATCTTACTGTTAAATGGGTAATTTTGGTCTATTTTATTTCACTGAATTGTTTCTGTATATTTTCAGGTGTGCTAACTTTCTTAAAATTATTTTGAATTATCTGCCAGGCAACTTATAAATTTCCAGTTCTTTTGGGTCAGCCATTAGGAGATTGTTGTGTTCTTTTGGTGGTGGTATATTTTCTTGGTGTTTCATGTTTCTTGTTGCCTAAATTGATGTCCACACAATTGAAGAAATAAGAACTTACTGCAGTCTTTACAGAATGGCTTTAAGAAAGCTCTTTACCACTTAGCCTATTCAGAGATTCTAGGTAGGCTGTGTGGCATGGTTCATAGGCTGGTTTGTTGTTGGAGTCCTTAGGTCAGCTGTCCTGGTCTTGGGTCAGCAGGTGGGTGGGCCTGAAGCCTAGAACCATGGGAGTATATCTGCTAACTGGGTCCATAGAAGCAGGCCTTGAGGCTGGGTCAACAAGTATGCACCTGTATCCTATGTCTGTGGGGGCTGACCTGGATCCTGGGTCCATAATATCTGACCTGGTGCTGGGGTGGGCCTTGAACCTAAGTCTGTAGGAGCCAGCCAGGTACTGGCACGGATCTCACACCTGGGCTCACTGTGTTGGGCCTGGAGTCTGAACCCATGGGGGTTGTCCTGGCACTGGCGCAGGCCTGAGTCTAAGGGAGTGGGTATGGGTGCTGGCTCTGTAGGAATGGGCCTGGAGCCTTAGTCTGTGGTGGGTAGCCTGGGACTATGCTCTACTGGGGTGGACCTAAACTCAGTCTGCTGAAGGAGACCTGGACCCTGGGCTGCTAGGGTTTGAAGCTCCAGGGACTGGCCTTGCACTGGACAGGCCTGGAGTATTTGTCCATGGGTGCCAGCCTGATGCCTAAGGCCAGGAGCACAGACTTGGTATGGGGGCTCTAGTGGCTAACTTGGCTCAAGGATAGTCTGGAAATGAGCTGGGCTGGAGCCTGGGGCTGTAGGGGCTGGCCTGGTTCTAGGTAAGCCTGGAACCTGCATCCATAGGAAGCCAACCTGGAGGCTGGGTCTGCAGGTGGTGGTTTGATGACTAGGACTTCAGGGACTGTCTTGGTGCAGGGGTGGGCCAGCCTGGTTCTGGTGGCAGTCCAAAGTCTGGGGTCGCTGGGGCCAGCTTGGCCCTGAGGTGGCCCTATAGTCTGAGTCCATGGGGAGATGGCTTGGCACTGTGGAAGGCCTAAAGTCTGGAACTGCTGGGACTGGTGCTGGGGCCTAGGGTCACTGGGATCAGCCTGGCAGTGGGACAGGCCCAGAGACTGCATCTACCAGGCAGGCCTGGTACCACAGGATCAGATCTGGCACCAGGGTAATCCTGGAGGCTCACTCCATGGATACTGGCCAAGAGTCTGGGCTCTGGGGGTCAGCCTGTGGCTTTGGGGGTGGCCTGGAGCCTAAGTTTGTGGGGGTTGGCCTGGAACTAGGGTAGGCTTGAAGTTCAGGGCTGCTGAGGTTGACCCAGTGCTAAGGTTGGTTTGGAACCTGTGGCTGCCGAGGTCAGCATGAAGGTGGGAAAGGCCTGGAGATGAAATTCACAGGGCAGGCCTGAAACTATGGGATCCCCCATGGCAACTGGGGTGAACCTGGAAGCTCAGTCCATGGGTACCAGTCTGACACCTGGGGCTATGGGGACCTGCCACTGTTGGTTTTTATTAGGGTGGGCCTGGTGTTGGAGTCAATGGCAAAATCCAGTACTCACCTCATTCTTCTTCCCATACACAGGAGGTTTCTGTCTACATGTTGTGCTGCCTGGGGTTGGTGGTGAGAGTAATGTAAAACTGTTCTTCCTGCACCCTTCAATGCATCTTCTCTTATTTCTGTGTTACCTCCAGGTGCTGTAATCTCTCCTGATTCCTTAGTTCTTGTGAAGGTATGCTTGTGCATGGGTAGTTGTTCAAATTGTGGGGGATAAGCATGAGAGAGTCCTATTCTGCCATCTTCCTGATGCCAGTCCTCCCAGAATAGCAACTTGATTGAATAATTGGAGACTAGGCTGGCCAAGTTGACACATCAAAACAACCATCACACATACCTACCTTTTCAGTCACTGAAGGGATTAAGTGATATTTGTAAATTACTTTAGCAGTGTCTGGCACATGGTAAATAATTAATTTTCACTTATTTATATGATAATTATAGTTACACTCATATAATTATAAATATTCCAGTTATATAACCTTGAGCCAATCATGTAACATGATTAATCTTCAATTTCTTCATCTGTAAAATGAGGGCATTGGAATACAAAGTTGCTAATGCATCTCATGCTCTTAAAGTCTATGGGATTTTTGGCCATGTTTGAGGAATGAAGGCTAAACAAGCCAAAATTGGGAAGAGAAGTGAACTGGAGTGACACAGAGATAGAAAAAAAGGAAGAGGTCATGGCATAGGTGGAAGAATGACAACAAAGAAACTTCTAAACTCCACCAAACACCTTGTGAATGCATAGATTGTTCCGGATGTCATCAAATAGAATAGCCTGTGTCTATGGTCCTGACTCCTGGGTGCCCTGGTCCAGCACTGGACAATTCATGTCAGTGGTAATAAGAGCCCAACTTTCCAGCAGGGTAGACTTGTTCAGGTAACACTCAGCCAGCACCTACTCTGTGCCAGCCTGGGTTGCTGCTGCTGTGATCCTAATTCTTCATTAGCATGAAACACTTCCCTCTGATAAACTACTTTTATTCTTCCTTGGCATCATTTCCACAAAAAGCATTCTTTCCAAGAAAGAGCCTCCAGGTTATATGCCAACTTGGGGGTCTGGGTACAATTAAGGCAAGCACTCAGTGTTCCCAATTCCACCTTGAAGGTATTAACAACCTTGAAAAATAGTGTCATTTAGTATTTCAAAACAAAGGTCCTGACATTTCCCCGGTTATGACAAGAAGAGTGGCTAAAAATGAGTCAAAAAGGGCTCAATCTGCCAAATTGTCCCCCAAGGAAAGTGGAAGTGCTGGGTTTGTAGTGAGCTAAATCCTCAGCAATTCCTCATGTCACAAGGAAAGATGGAAGCTAAGGGAAAGGTGATAGTGGAACCCTGGAGGAGGAAGGAAAAAGAGCTGCTAGGTATCTGGTTGTTTGGAAAGTCACCACTCAAAAATAAAATGAGACACGATTCTTTCTGATTTCTTAAAGAGAAATATTTTACTTGTGGAATTAAAACTCAAAGTACAAAAACATGAACTACTCTGGGCTGGCTGAGGTTCTGGCAGATGCTCTTATGTAAGCCTCCACTGCTCATGGCTTGAGGATTTCAGGAGAATGGGACCCCAGCTCCCTAGGTTGCCCAGTCTCAGCATAGGTCATATTAACAATAACACATTTCACAGGCTGTGGCTTCACCTTCACACACAGGCATGATCCCTCTTCCTTTTCACTCCTCTAGTTATTTCTGGGAGACTCCTAAGGGAATCAGTCATGTGCTTATGTCAAGATCAACAAGCCTTTTGAGTTTCCTTTTGCTTTCCTTTCAGTGAGATGTTTTTCCAAGAACTCTGACCAACCTCTAACAGAGATGCTGAATGCCAGCTCCCACAGCTCTGGTCTTGATCTCCAGGTTCCACAAACTGCTCCCTCCCCATTTTCCTTTGTGCCAAAAGGTGGTAATAGCTTCTGCTCTTATAGTCTCTGGGGAACCACACCATCCTTGAGAGTTTTCTATACTCAGCCCACACATTTGTAAATAGTTCTTATTAAACTCTTCTCAAAGCATCCCATATGAGCATGCCATCCATTCCTTCTGGGTCTCCGTGCAATATACCAGATGTGTCTGAATCTCAGTTTGAGCCTTAGGCTAAAACCTCTGTTATGCCATGAAGACACTGCAGGTCCATTTCACAACCTAGTGAAAATGATTTAGGAGACTACAAGATGATGCTTAAGACATTTTTAAAGTCGAAATCAAAATCGTGGTGTTTGCTTCATGACCTCTGAAACTTAATTTGCCTCATAATCTCTGAAACTTAATTTACTGGGTAAAATCTGTCAGCAGCACAGCAAGGCCAATCATTTTCAAATCCCCAAAGAAGTCATATGTTCACCAGGAGACACAGGTCTTCCCATGTCTGAGCACAGAGAGGCAGTAGGATTGGCAGCTGCTGTTGGAGGTGCTTTCTGTTTTTTTTTTTTCGGGTTGCACATTTTTATTGGGAGCCATGGGAGGGGCCGCCTCTGTCAGTGAAGGTGCTCACAGTTTCTTCAGCCACTCCAGGCTGGGGCCCTGAGGGTCCTGGGGGTGGCTGGGCACGTCCGGCATGTTCCCATCATCGCGGACGGGCACTGGGTAGTTGTAGGGCGTGGCCTCGTTGATCATGACGGAGTACTTGAAGTAGGGGCTGAATGGAGGCATAATTATAGCGAGGCCCCCAATGACGAAGGACACGACCAGCACTGGCTCCTTGTCCCAGGCAATCTTGAGGAGGGCGCCGAGTCTCACGGCCATCTTGGTCTTGGCGGCCGGAGGTGCTTTCAAAACACAGTGACCAGCAGGCCTGGCTCTAGCAGAGCCAACACCACAAGGGATTGGAGGGTATAAGCCATGACAGGCAATGTCACTATCTGCTGCTTCTTAATTCCTGCAGATTCAGGGACCATAGATTCCAGTTGTCCACCTCGATTCACCTCATCAGAAACTTGGAAAACCTTCACATTGTCTGTGTTGACATATTGACCTTACTCCAACTGAATGGATAGCATGTGTTTTAAAATCCACTGGACATAGAATTATAGGTTCACCATATGATTTTTAAATTTATTATATTATTTAAAGGTGTTTTTCTACTCCCTCCTGGCCTCTCTAGTTTCCTGCAAGAAGTCAGCCATTGACCTGATCATTGTTCCTCCACGTGTAGTTCTCATTTTTCTCTTGCTGCTTTCAAGGTTTGCTCTTCATCTTTGGCTTTCAACAGTTTGAGGATGTGCCTTGGTGTGACTTATATTTATTCTCCCTTTTGTTGTATTAAAACACAAATGGGTTTTGCTTCCAGGTGTGATAGACAAAGATATTACTAGACAAAACATGCTACAAAAACAACTATAAAACCTGGAAATACTTTAAAAAAAAAAAAAGCATGTAAATGTCATGCGGGGTGAACAAAAGCAGAGAAATGTACAGGACAGAGTCACATATCCACACTATACACACTCAATTAGAAAACTCAGTTGTAAGAAGACAACTCATTGTTTAAAAATGAACAAAAGACTTGAATAGGTTCCTCACTAAAGAAAATACACAAATGGCCAATACATATATGAAAGTATTCCATATCTCTAGTCAAAATTAGTAAACATATCACTAGTAAAATTATCACTAATGAGCAGAAATTAAAACCATAATGAGATGGTTTTATATACTTACTAGAACGACTAAGGTTAAAAAGACTGACAATACAAAATGTTGGCAGGGATGTAAAGCGACTAGAACTCTCATCCCCTGCTGACATGAATGTATAACGGTAAACCACTTTGGAAAACAGGATGGCAGTATATTTATAAAGTTAGACATACACTTAGCATACAACTCAGCAGGTCCACCCTGCATAATTTTTCAAGAGAAAGAAAACATATCCATACAAAGACAAGAGCATATTCATAAAAGCATCATTCACAATATTCCAAACTGGAAGGAATCTAGATACCATCAAATGGTGAATAGAGACAGTGTGTGACATATTGATACTATGAAACCCTACAGAGCCATCAAGAGGTGCAAAATATTAATACATGTAACAACATGAATGCGTCTCAAACATGCTAAGTGAAAGAAGTCAAACACAACTACATATTTATGAGTCCACTTATGTGGAATTCCAGATAAGGCAATACTATTACGACAGAATCGGATCAGTGTTTGCCTGGAGTAGAGGATGGGAGTTTGGGTCTGAAGACAACTTTTCAGAAGGAGTGAACTGTCCTATATCCTGACTGGCTACATGATTGTATACAGTGACAAAAGTTCATCAGACTGTATAATCAAATAGGTGAATTTTACCAGTAAATAGTCTTTAAAAATTTCCAACTTAAAAAATACACATTATCCCTGCACCCCACTGCCCAAAAAAGATCCTGCTACTTTTTCCATGGAGTCAAAAGAATATCAACTTGATTCTAGACTCCCAGGGTCTGATTCCCAGCTCAGGCAGTTTCTTGTTTCCTGCACTTCCTGTGTTTTATCTCACCCGTAAGATAAAGACAATAATACTTAACCTCACCGGGTTGCTGGGAGGATTAAATGAGGCAATAAACACATGCTCTGCCTTAGCTATCACTGCAGTCTTTTTTCTTAAGAAGAATATATTTCTAGCTCCCTCTGGGACACTGGAGTGCTATCCAGTGCTTCAGTTGGGCAATTCCACCCAGTAAGGAACTTCACGCTGTGACCTACGAAATTACAAGCCCCCTGGATCCAGCTGACCCCAGCAGAATGGAGTTGGGTTTTGGTATCTGGGATTTAGCCAGAAAAGTATGGCCCTCAGCTATCAATTTCCTACTTCTCTTCCTATTTCATGAAGCTCCAGGCATCAACGTCAGCTGTTTTTTAGGGTCATCTTCTCAGGTCAGTAGGACAGATTTAAAAAGGTAAAATCTGAAGATTCCATGACGTACAGTTTTGTTATCTGTTGTTCTTGTATTTGCCTCTATTTTGTTGTATAATGCAGACTTTTACAGCAAGGAAATAGCCATCTGAATTTTTTTTTTGTTTTTGTTTTTTGTGAATAGCCCTTCATTATGGTTGCATTTATCTTATTGTTTCCACTTTCAGATGGGGAAGCTAAGGCATTTCATCTAACTATAACTCTAATATCGCTATATTAAACAATAGTATAAAGATGTAAGCAAGGTTTAAACAAGACTATAAAGCATGGTTCCATATGGGCTTTATTCGCTCATCTTCCATACTTTCAAGCACAGATTTTGGGCTTGGGCTCCCTTTGTACAGCTGCCTTGGATGATTTATGTGGAGTCCAGGCAGGAACCCTGACTCTCATGGCCTCTGAGGCATCTTAGAGTGAGATACCTTGTTCCTTGTTTGCATTACACTGGACAAGGAGTTTGGTCCTCTGTTGCATATATAACGTAACTTATTTATAGTTTATATTTATGTCACACTTCTACATTATAAAATATCAGACCCTCTAAGTTTTCTACTTACAATTTCAGAATTGTTATTGCAAATGAATTAACTTGCATTTTCTCCTTTTGCAAGGCTGAGGTGAAAACTAATGATGTAGATAACAGATTTTTTTCCTTTGGTAATTAGAAAGCTTTTAGCTTCATTATTTAACCCCCAAGGACAGAGTAAGTGCTTCTTCTGTACGAATGAGTTGCAGTCTACAGTTCCATTTCAATTAAATTTTTTTCACTATATGGTTTGTCAAATATCAACAACATGAGTGCTTGAGGACAAATTGTTTTTAAGATTTCTGTAAGATTATTACCCTATCACACTGATTCTCAGGAAATGTATTAAATTTACAATGGGAACCTTGTTTCCCATAGTTACATTTTGTGATATTTATGTTCTCATCTATTTTGTTCTGCAACCAATGGAATTGTTATACGTGTTAAGGAACTGCCCCTTTGCTCCAGGAATTCCATTTCTAAGAATTCATCTCAAGGAGGTAGGAACCAGGAATTAGATGTTTATGGGGCAAGTGTATCCCATTGTCCACTTGGAAGTCTCTGAGAACTGATGAGTGGAGATCCGACTTAAATATCTCCCATGCTGGGCCTTGGCACATGTTGGGCTCTGTATAACTTCCAAAGGCAATGTGAAGAGTGAGAAAATTACATCTGGCATTGGTTTCGGTGAGGCGTTTTAATCAAATGCAGGCCAGATTAAATCTGTTCTGCAAGAGACTGGATGCCAATTTAGCTGTTACCTGAATCAATGAAACAAGCTGAATTTTTAAAGGTTGTGGAGACTGCGATTAGAAAGCAGGTAATTGGGTGTCTGTTAGCAGGACAAGCCAGATATGTATTGATCAAGAAAGGAAAAAGTCTGACTTGATTAACAAACCTTCTCTGTGTCAATAAACTAATGGTTGCTTTTAAAATGTAATTTTGCTTCCATTCTTCAGTAAGGGGCCAAAAATAGCCCAGGGAGGGGCTGTGGAGAAAGTTAAAGTGTTTCTAAATAAGGAGCTTCCACTGATGATTGGAGAAAACTGGTAATGGAAAAGGAACAGATCATCTGTCTCAGGAAGAGGCTTTTCAGTCCCTCCAATGGCATATAACAGAATTCACACAAGTTTTACACTGAAGACTGCAGCATTAGACTTGTGACTCCACATTCAGCTCTAAAGTGATTTTTGCTGGAGGCAAATGTGTCAAGAAAGAGAAATCTTTCTCTCCCAAGAAACCTCTTACACAACTGTGTCCCTCCAGGGACTCTCAGAACAATCCCTCCATGGGGACCTGAGACACCAGGTCATGGCTTTTCCTTCTCGGGAAAGCAAATGGGATTGATGTACTGGGAATTCTCTCTCGTCCTGAAGCAAAACACACCCAAGTCCGTGAGCCCTCGTCCCAGATGAGGCTCGCTGTCTGCAGAATGGGAGAAGAACTGGCAGGCTCTGCAGATTCCCCACTCAGTGCCTCTGGTTTGGAAGTTACACGTACTGACTTCTTAGGTTTCTTGTAAACAATAGGAAAAACCTGCCCCTAGATGTCCCAAAGCAGTTAGAGTTTTGAAAGTGGATATGGAACCCAGCCCACAGCTTGGGACTTGAGGAAACTAGGGGAAGGTGTCTGGGCACCGTGAGCCTCAGGTGTCTCCCTGCCACCACCCACTGCTGTAGAAGCAACACCGTCAGGGCCAGTGCTTGATTCGATGAGTAAAGAATCCCCCTCTTGGCAGGCAGCAAGAGCAGTGTGGGCGCTCCCTGGCATTAAATCGTATTTGACAGCGAATGAAGAGCATGGAAAGCTCTCTGCCCACATCTGTCTTTGTGTCCTCTGACTTCTGTCTCATCGCATGAAAACAGATTTGGTTTGACTAAGAGCAGAGACTCTGAGTCTGACAAAACCTAAAACAATAACATTTTATTCTAATGGGAGAGTTGAGATGGAGAAAATGGAAGAAAAATAATAAAAATAAGGTAAATCTGGGGGAACATGACTAAGTTGTTTTGTTGCCAACCACAGCAAAACATATTGCAAGGATAATAATTGGCTCCACAAAGGACGTCCTTATTTGAATGCAGCTGGCAGAGAAGGCAGGAGAGGGGAGAGAACCTATAAAATTCCTAGGCCAAAACGTTCTGGGTACTTGAGTCAGTACTTACTGTTTTCCTTCCCCACACCATCATTTGTCCAATTTTTTTTTTTTAACCCACAACGTGGTGATTTTGCCAGCACTTGGGGAGATGTTCTCAGTATCCAGCCCTCTCCAGTGTGTGTGGTTGTACAACTCTGTGACAGCAGCCACACCCCTACTTCTGCTTATCACAG